CTCTCCCTCTCCCTCTCCCTCTCCCTCTCTCTCTCTCACTTTTACAGCTGTACCACTTGTTATATTTAATCTTTTTTTCATTACATATATTGGTACATTTTATGTGTATAATATGATGACATCGATCATTGGGAATTTTTACCTTTACATGATGTATCTTTTTTTTGGTACCAGGGATCAAACTCGGGTCCTTGCACTTGCGAGACAGCATACATGATATATCTTAGTTCTTATTTTTTCTCCATTCCCCTGCCTTCTCTTTTTAATTATTATTTTTAATTTTAAAAAGCAAATAGAAAAACGGCCAGGGATTTAGCTCAGTGGTTTCACCGCCTGCTGTGCAACTGCAAGGACCTGAGTTCAATCCCCAGTACCCCCACAAAAAAAGCAAATGGAAAATGTATATTTTGATGAGCTAGGGTGTTAATTTTTTTGAAAGTCAGCTGAAGGACAATTAGACAGCACAGCAAAGACTGCTAAATGCACTGACCCCCTAGAATGTGATTTTTGTTAATTTTTATTTCTGTGTGGGTTTTTTGTTTTGTTTTGTTTTGATTTTGGTAGAACTTAAATTTGGACCTTTGGAGGAATGAGCATCATTGTTTTGTTTCAGAGGGAAGTTCTTGATGGTTTTAAAACAATTGATTTAGATTTTAAATTTGGTGCTTTTAAGAAAGAGTTAAAAATGAATAGCAATGCTTCAATTAAAGTTACAAAAGAAGCCAGGGATTTAGCTCAGTGGTTCTGCCATCTGCCTCAAAAGCGAAAGCGCAAGGTCCCGAGTTTGATCCCCAGTACCAAAAAATAAAGTTATACAAAAGAGATAAAAATAAAATAAAAATAAAATAAGACAACAAGCCATCTCGTAACCACAAAACAAGTCAGAAAGGAATACAAGTAAATTCAGCAGCCAGTGTAGAAGTAAGTCTAAATGCAGCACATACAAAACAGGAAGACAAGGCCCTGCCCACAACAATAAAAATGTTCCATCAAAGAAACCTAATATGAAGACATCACAATCCTCCCATGCTCTCAACTTTCAACACAGTGCAAGCAACCAACAAATGGCATAACCAACCAGCAAACAATGGATGACAATTTTTTTGATTATCTAAATGAATCATAATCCAGAATACAGTCAAAATATTTAAGGATGCCATGAAACAAAAGCAAACTCTTACCTCCTTCTAATTATCTCACCAGGGCCTCCAAAATGATAGAGGAGACATATGGCTCCCAACCTGCTAGATGTCAGATGTGCCAAGTTCATGTCTCCTGAAATGAAAGAATGAATGTTAAGGAGCAACAGGGCTTAAGAGAAGGAAAGGTTTATTGAGACATAGCTCTTGACAGACAGGAGGGGTCTCAAGTGAGTGGTCATTGAGGTCCTTTGTCAGGGGTAATTTATACAGCAAGGTCACAATGTGGGTATAATATAGGTCAAACTATAATCAACCTACAAGATCGTAAGTATAGCCACTTAGCTAATATTGATCCAGTAGGGAAGCAGGTCATGTAGCAAGGGTACACGGAAAGAAGAAAAGCAGTTTGGGAAGGGATGGGTCTGGATGCTCTGGTCACCCACTTGGGTGACTGATATCTATCTGGACTTTACTGGACCAGGTGACACCAATCACAGTATAATCTCAAGTTACTGTTTATCCCTCGGGGAGGCTGTGGATCTAGTCATTGCATCTTTATCTTGAGGCCTGGCCTTCAATGGATGCTCCTCCAGCCACAGGTTTTATGTGCTCTCCTCTTTTGCTTTTGCACTGACTCTTTTGAGGGCCTAGCCCGGTCTGACTGCCTATTAATTTCTATCTAACTTAGCTACAATACTTCTGCCTCAGCCTTCCAAGTGTTGGGTTAACAGGCATGTGCCACCATGCCCGGCTGTCATGTCCCTTCTTCCACAGGCCCAAATTTTGTAATTTGTTTTTATTTTTAAAACTTTTAAAGCTGGGAGTGGTACATAATGAGTTCAAGGCCAGACTGAACTATACAGTGAGACCCTGTCCCCCTCAAAAGCCAAAAAGAAAAAAAATGTAACTGACATTTTCAATCGCTAAGAATAAATAGTGCTTTAGTTTTAAAAAAAGAATGGCAGATAGGGCTGGGGATTAAGCTCAGTGGTGCCGCCACCTACCTCACAATCGCGAGGTCCTGAGTTCGATCCTGAGTACAAAAAAAAAAAAGAAGCAACAAAAAAGAATAGCAGATGCTGGCCCCAGAAGCTCAAGGTCCAGTGTCCTTTCCACAGGGAAGGGAGGACCAGACATTGGCTGGAGGGATATAGCAAGCTTGGAGTTATCAATTGAATCCCTGTCGTCCCCTCCCATCTGTCTTGTTCTATAAAAGGCCCTTGCACAGCTGGACACAGGCAGGTGTGCTTGGTAGAAACATGAGGCCCTTTATCTCCTTGGAGCTGGCTTTGAATAAAGCTTTTTCCTTTTCACCACATGTGGCTTCCCAAGGAAGCAGCGACCTGAGCTTCCAGACCTGTCCAGCCAGAGACAGTACTGGAGACTAGATTCAGGGCCTTTCACCTGGAGACAGTGTTCTACCACTGAGCTACATCCTGAGTCCTTTTTTATTTTGCTTTCAGACAGGATCTTGCTAAATTGCCCAGGCTGGAACTTGCAACCATCCTGCCTCAGCCTCCCAAGTTGCTAGAATTACAGATGTGTGCCACCACACCTGGTTTCTGAAAAGTCAGACTTTTATAGACATAAGGAGCCAGTAATTCAAGATGAAATAAGAATGATTTTGAGGCTGGCATGGTGGTGGACATCTATAATCCCAGTACTTAGGAGGCTGAAGCAGGAGGATCTCAAGTTTGAGGTTAGCCTGGGTTACATAGTGAGTTCAAGGTCAGGATGGACTACACAGGAAGATCTTGTCTACAAACAAACAAGCTCCAGAAAGAAAAATGATTTTGAATGAAATAATAAATTATTAAATATTAATATTAGTATATTAATATGTTATAGTATTAAATAATAAATGATTTGAACCAAATAATAAAACTAAGAAAATATTTTATTTTTCCTAAATTGCCTGGACATTTTATCAAGTTTTCCTCCATTTTGGGCTGTGGACACCTGACCAAAGATTAAGGCTGGGTTTTCCCTGTGACAAACAAGTGGATGGTCAGCACTGCCCCGTTCATTTGGATGTTTGGCCAGGGGTCAGGGGCCCTTGCCAACAGTCTGACTGGAGCCTGAGACACAATATCATTATATAGTTCAGGCCAGCCTTGAACTTACTATGTAGCCCAGGCTGGCCTCAAATTCATAGTGCTCCTCCTGCCTCAGCCTCCCAAGCAATGGGATTACAGGCATCTGCCACCACACTGGCCTCTTTTCTCTTTCTATTCTTTCATTCTCTCTCTCTCTCTCTCTCTCTCTCTCTCTCTCTCTCTCTCTCTCGTCTCTTTTAGAAATATTTTATACCATGGTGCTCTTCACACAGTCGTCTCAGCTTCTTCCAGCCAAGGGCATGGCATAGCAAGTGATTTCTGAAAAGGGCTAGGTAGTAAGTACTTTAGAGTCTTTGGGTCGTACAGTCTGTCATAATCTGTCAACTCTGCCTTTGTCCTGTAGGACAGAGACCATAAGCCATCAAATGGGCCTGGCTATATTCAGTGCCATCTCCCCTGCCAGGACTCAGCCATGCCTGGCACCAGCTGGATCACACTGCACACCATCTCCCTGTACCTGGCTTTAACTTGCTGAGGTCACCAGGTGGGGCACAGGATGGTGCCATCAGCTCTGAAACAGCTCTTCTGCTTGGTGCACTGTGATGCCAGGGCTCTTGGCCTTGCTTGTGTCACCGGCTGATTTCTAAAGGCTCTGCCATAGGATGCATGGGGGACACAAAGGGCAGGAGGGAGGAGGGCTCAACCCTGTGTAGTCACTGTGCTGAGGTGCTCTTTCACCCTGCTGGCAGCAGCTGGCCCCAGGCTCCAGCTTTGCCACCACACCTGGCACAGTGACAACATCTGAGGCATGCGTGTAAATGCACACACATGCACACATGCACACACAGGACCTGCAAACACACTCACTTGCTGTTCCTCTGTCGCATGATTTTTTTTTCATCTCTAAACCTCTCATAAAGTTGCTGATTACCTACCAAAATTTGTATTCAAAATCAGCAAATATGTCAAAGGAAGCCTCCTAAGGAAGAAGAAACTGCAAATAAATATTCTTAAATACTGTATGAGTTACTGTTGGAGGACTTTGATATATGTGTTTCTCTCAGAATAAGCTTGTTTTCATTTGTTAAATTGCTTAAAATTTAATTATTTTAGTAAAAAGTAGGCCCACATATGACTTTTTAAAAAATGGTGATATATGCTGTGTTAATAATGGCATTGCTGGGTGATTTAAACAACAGAATTAGTTCTATCACTGTCCTCAAGGCTGAAAGTCCAAGATCATGGGGCTTCCAGGGTTGGTTTCTCCTGAGGCCTCTGTCCTTGGCTTGTAGATGGTCATCTTCCACTTCACATGGTCTTCCCTGATCTCTCTCTGTCTCTGTCTGTGTATCCCTCTCTCTCTTTCTCAGTCCTGAAGACTGAACCCAGGGCCTATGCACTGAGCTACATCCGTAGACCATTTTTTATTTTTTGGAACAGGGTCTTGCTTGCTAAATTACTAAATTGGCCAGACTGGACTTGAACTTGCAATCCTCCTGCCTCAGCCTCCCAGGGGGCTGGGATTACAGGCGTGCATCACCATGCCTCACCGGTCCCATGGTTTTTAATAGCTTCCATATGCTGATGGCTTCCACATTCACTAACTTCACCCCTTGAGCACTCCAAGTTTTCCTTTCAACTGCCTTCTCCACGTGTTCACTTAGACATATAATAAACATCCTCAGCTGTTCTTCATCACAGAAATGCCACCAACATCCATCCAGCTGTTGAGGACAAAAATCACAGGAAGCATCCTTGGGCCTTCATTTCACCCAGTTGGCCCCACATCCACAATAAATCCCGACCCTGACCACTTCCCCTCAGTCCCCTCCACACACTAATCCATATCAACTTCCTTCTTGCATGGATCGCTGCAAAAGCCACCTCATTTGTCTCCCTCCATTCTAACCTTTACCATCTGATAAAGGCAAATCAGGGATATTCCCTCGCTCCCAACCCCCACTGGTGCCTGGAGTGACAGCGCTCGCCTGTAGTCCCAGCTACTCAGGAGGCTGAGGCAAAAGGACAGCGATTCAAGGACAGCCTGGATAACTGAGTGAGACGCTGACTCAAAATTGTAAAAGGGCTGGGCGAGTAGTTTAGCAGTACAGCACTTGTCTAGCATGCAGGAGGCCCTGGGTTCGATCCTGCACTGGTTTCCTATTGCAACCGCAGAAATGAAATCCCTCACCATGGCCCTCGGGGCCACACAACACCCTGGGTCCAGGCCCCATGTCCAGGGCTCCAGCTGCGAGGACCTCTCAGTCCTCTGAACACACTTTCCCTTGGACCTGGGATACCATAGGGTCCCTGGTCTTCTCCGCGCGTCCTTCTCATCCTTCAGCCTTCAGCTCCAACGTCACCTCTGAGACGTCTTTCCTGACCTCCCTGTGCCCAATCTTCCAGACCCTCCCTACCACTCTCCAGAAATTTTTCTTCAGTTTCTGAATTTTAGAATTTCCCTCACGGACTCACCTGTTCTGAGGTTTCCCTGTGTCCCTCTCCCTCACCTCCCCGGGAAGCCTCCCAGGAGCAGGGAACCCCTGTGTGGAGCTCAGGGACCCAGGAGGAACTTGGACAGAGCTGGTTGACAGGAGCCCGCGCGGATCCCTAGGGCTCCCCAGCTCAGGGAGGTTCCTGTCAACTGGCGACACCCCGTCCTACCCCTTCTTCACTCTTTTTTGGTGCCCACCATCGGCTCCCCCGCCCTCCTACGTTTTCTTCCCTCCTGCCCTCAGTTCTTTCACCGCCCTTCTGGGCTCGCCCACGCCACGCCCACGCCACGCCCACACAGTCCATGCCCCTCTACAACGCCCTTGCTCTAGGCCCAGCCCCCAGTCCCCGCCCTGCCCCCAGCACCGCCCCGCCCTCCTGCCCCGCCCCTGCCCCACCCCGCGCATATCTTCCCAGCCCGCGTCGGTCCAGGTGGCAGAGGCAGCAGCGGCGGCTCAGAGAGGATGGCGTTCGCGGCGCTGTGCTGGGCGCTGCTGCTCCTGGCGGGGGACTATGCAGGTGAGGCTCGAAAGGGGCCCGGGTGACAAGGACCCGCGAAGATGCCACGGTGTCCTCCAGGGCGGCGCCTGTCCGGTCATCTCTGGGCCGCCTTGAAGACGGTGCCCGCGCAACCGTTACCGGCGGTTCCCCGCCAGTCCCGCAGCGCTGGGGCGGTGGGGTGGCCCTGGGCTCCCTTCCTGCTCCCCCTAAGTGACACCAGCCATCTGCTCTTTCTCTCTAGACACAAATTTTCTGGTGGCCTGGAGCAGGAGTTGGGTTTTATGTACCCAGGGACTCTGGACCCTGGGCAGGAGATGGGCAGGAATTGGGAATCCATATGACAGAAGTGTGTTCCTCTAGCCAGATTTCACCTAGTTGAAGGTCGAGTTTAAATGCTAACACTTGTTAGGTGTGGTAGTTCACATCTGTAATCTCATCATGGGAGGCTGAGGCAGGAAGATCTCTCAGAGTTTGAGGCCAGCCTGGGCTACATAGTGAGTTCAAGGTTGGCCTGAACTGCAAAGTGAGACCTGTGTCACTCCACCCCCAAAAGCTAACACCTAAAATTAAGTTTTGTATCTATTACCCTGAGCCACAGAGGAAAAGAATATTATGAATTGTTAAGAGTTACTTCCCGATATTTGTAGTTTAGCTTCAAAGTCCTTTTTCAACCAAACCTAAAAGGAACAGAACCAAATGTTCTTTCTTTTAAAAGTGCCAGGGTCGAGGGGGGGTATCTTTTTTAGGGGATATGGAGAAAGACTGGGTTAAGAAACCAGCTGTCAGCTGGGCATGGAGATGCACAACTGTAATCCCATGAGTTCCAGTCCTACCTGGGCTACATAGTGAGTTCAAGACCAGCTGGATCTATATACCGAAACCCTATCTCAAAAAAACAACAAACAAAAAACCCCAAAACAATGACAAAACCCCCTCAAAAAACTTAAGAAAGGGAGAAGGTGTGTATAAAACACAAACAATTTTTTTAAAAATCCTTATGGATAAAATTCATGTTTAGGGCCGGAGATTTAGTTCAGTGGTTTCGCCACCTGCCTTGCAAGCACAAGGGCCAGAGTTCAATCCCTGGCACAAAAAAAAAAAAAAAAAAAAAAAAAAATTCATGTTTGATTACATAACTAAATGTCTGTTTTCTTCTTGCAGCCTCCGTGGAGCGTGCAGATGGTGGGCCTCGAACAGTAAGTAGGAAGCCTCTGCTGTCGGTGCATAGAGAGAAACCCAGGCTCATTTTCAGGACATCCTGCCCCTTTTGAACATATCGACTGCTTTAGAAGCCAGGCCTCTAGGCAGGCCTTTTAGTACAGATAAAAGCATAAAGTTTAGTTCAGAGTGGCTCCATCTTTGACCGCCTCATAACCTTGTTTGCTTTAATATTTCCTTTAACGATTCCAAAGTTCCTTGGCCTAATAGTTATGCTTTACAGTGGACATCATACGTACTTTATCACATTCAATTGCATAGCTGTCAGTGAAGACCAGATGAGAGCAAGCAGAGGCTCTTCATTCAGAGCCGCTGTAGCAAGGGATTGACCACCATCGTCTGCAATTTGGGAGCAGCTCCAGGGAGGAGAGGAGTGGGAGAGCTCACAGTGGGAAAGCTCACAGTGGGAAAGCTCACAGTGGGAAAGGCAAGGCTTTGGGTACAGCTTGATGCAGGCTGGTGGCTTGGAGGAGCTGCAGGTGGCTGTCGGTGAAGCAAGGCATCCTATGGGATTGAGTGAGGGTGTGTGCTTGGCTTTAATGGTTTGTCCCAAGTTGGAATCAGAGACAAAAGTTAGACACTGTCGGTTGGGCTGGATTTAACTCAGTGGCTCTGCCGCCTGCCTTGCAAGAACAAGGACCTGAGTTCGATCCCCGGTACCAAAAAAACAAAACAAGACACTGTCGGTTATTAATGAAGTCTGTTTGGGGCTTACTGTTTTGAGTTCCTAGACTGTCACTAGAAGTAGCAGTCTGGCTTCCTACAGATAGTAGTTGTTAACAGAAATTCACATGACCACTGTCCACTTAAGCATCTTGCAAGTAAATGACCCTCTCCTGTCTAATCTGTTTCTACATAACCTTATGCACTCTGGGCTGGAGACTGTTCTCTCGCACACCCATAGACATTCACCTCCCACCAGCTGAGTTGTTCTGTTCTGAGTGGTGGTTCTGGGATCAAACCCAAAGCCTTGCATACGGTAGGTGTAATCTTGCTGGGACTCAAGGGGGTGTGTGTAAAGCCTCCTAGGACTCCAGTCTCATTTTAATTACAAATGGAAAGACATGGGAGCATGAAAGAGCAAAATAGAAAGTTGGTAAGTAGGGAGAAGTTCAAGTAGATGCCCAAATGACCTGTTCTGTTCTTTCAAAAAACTAATATTTATGGTATTTTTTTCATTTATGCTATTAGTTTCTCTTAGTTCATTGAAAAGAAAGTTATATGCTGTTGTTTCTTTGTTGTAGGAGAGTCCTTTTTGTCTATTATTTGTACTCTGAGTAACATTTTGGCCATTCTTTTAAGATTATGATATACAATGTATTAACTATTGTTATTCTCTAATTATTTTGTTGTGAAATTTTGTTTTATTTTTTCATAGCAGTAAGAGTGGTTTTTATATTTTATTAATATCTACTTGTATTACATTAAAACATTTTTTAAAACATAAATATGAGTTCAAAGAAAGCTATTTTTTTTTGGTAGTACCCAGGAATGCTTTATCACCGAGCAATAGCTGCAGTCCTGTCTGTCTGTCTGTCTCTGTCTATCTATCTATCTATCTACCTGGGTGTCTTTCTAAGTTGCCTAGGCTATCCTTGAACTTGCAATCCTCCTGCTTCAGCTCAAGTAGCTGGGATTACAGGTGGGCCCCACCTGCCCAGCTAAAGTCATCATTTACATGACAACTGTCTCATAGTTTAGAGAGACTTACTAACAGACAATTTGCTGTAAAAATGCTGTTGAAGGGCTGGGGATTTAGCTCAGTGGTTTCGCCGCCTGCTGCGCAAGCGCAAGGACCTGAGTTCTATCCCCGGTACGCAAAAAAAAAAAAAATGCTGTTGAATTATATGTAGATGAAACAACTGTAAATAATTGCGGAAAGATTTTTTAAAACTGTTTACTAATCCAAGTGTTTTTAAGTTCTCGCTGTGTTTCAGAGCACTGAGTGTCAACTGAGGGAAGTTTTATTCCTGGCACACATGTGGTACATGGTTTTTGATCAACCCGACTGAGTTGTTTCCTGTACCTAGTGGTAGAGCAGCACAGGGAATCTGCTAAATATCTTACAGTGCAAAGCACAGCTACAGCAAAGAATTATCTGGTCTGAAATGTGAATAGTGTCACAATTGGGAAACCCTGCTTTCAAGACTGAGAATTGAGATCAAAGGTGATATATTATGGATGTGCATTAGTGGTGAGCACTCAAAGGACTCTAATTAGTTGAGATATTCAAAGAAAGGTCCTATTCTGTGTATTCCTTGGATTCAGCTGTAAGGTACAGTGACTCAAAATACCAGCTTACAGCCCTACTGTCCTAGGATACATCCTTTGTCTCCTAGTGCATAAGATGAAGGTTAGGACCCATGCCCCAGGAGCAGGACCAGAAGCACTCAGTGAGGCCTCTTTTACTCCCAAGCCTGGCCCACAGACAGCAGCGCTTAGGTCTTTATAAATCCAAGTGACAGCAATAGAAAGTATGTTCCATTTATTCACTGTGGAGATGGGGTGACTTCTTTTACTCCAAGGCAAAGAAAAGTGGTTACCATTTACTTTAAAAAGAAAGAGCCAGGTCTGGGAATGTAGCTCAGTGGTGCTGTGCCTGCCTGGCAGGCGCAAGGTCCTGAGTTCAATCTCTGGTGGGCTGGTGGGGGGGCATGGGCAGTGGGATACAGAGGCACATGTCTATAATAAAAGATACTCAGAAGGCTGAGGCAGAAGGATCATGAGTTCAAGGCCAGCCTGGGCTACATAGCAAAATCTTGTTTAAAAAAAAAAAAATCAGAAACAGAATGAGCCATATATTTAACCTTTTGTTAAAACGGGGCTTTGTTCACCATATTCTGATCACTGTGACCAGTTCTGGCCCTGCGGATGAGCAACACTTATTGCTTCTCTGGCCTTAGTTCCAGCCAATCAGAGGAATGGTTTCCAGGACTCCATATCAGGGCTGCTGCAGCAGAGTACCACAAACTAGGCACCTAAACAGCAGAAAGTGGGTGTCTCACGGCTCTGATTGCTTGCAGTTCAAAATTCAGGTGTGAGGAGTGTTGGTTCCTTCTGAGGGCTAACAGGAGAATCTGTCCCAGGCACAGTCCTAGCAGCCAGTGGCCTCCTGGTTTATCTGTGGTCCCTTCCCCGCCTCTACCTGGTCTTCTGTCTGTCACGACATCCAAATTCCACCGTTTTAATAAGGACACTGGTCATATTGGCTGAAGTCTACTCTCGTGACTTTAATTTGATCACCTCTGTAAAGACCCTATCTCCAAATAAGATCCTATTCCAAGGTAGTAGGACTTTTACATATCTTTTGTGTGTGTGTTCTTGGAGGGCACCATTAAAACCATAACTTCAGGGCCCAGGTCTGGACCTGCCATTATGCCAAGGGATTAAGGCAGAAGGTAGCAGAACAACCCCTCCTGGAGGCTGTAGTAAAGTGGGAATTATGAAGCCAGAGGCTATTGAAGTAGGAATGCCAGGATGCTTTGGATTTTCACTTAAGAATCAGATTAAAACCTCTGATGTCTTCTATTTGTCCCTTTTTCTTTTTGTGGCACTGGGAATTGAATTCACGGACTGTTGAACTATATCTCCTAGTCTTTTTAAAATTTTATTTGAGACAATGTCCCACTGAGTTGCTCAGGATGCTCTCACACTTGGGATTCTCCTGCCTCAGTCTCCTGAGTAGCCAGGATTACAAGCCTCTGCCACAAGGATGGCTTTTTTTTTCTCTGTGCTGGGGATCCAACCCAGGACCTCATACATGTTAAGCATGGCATGTCCTTTACCACCGAGGTATACCTCCAGCCTCTGAAGTCCTTTCCTTTTTAAATGTAGCATGTTTTAGACTATTGCATCAACATTGAATGTGATTTTTGCATTTGAAAAATCATTTCTTTGTGTGTGGAAATAGAGACAGTTGTATGGGATGTTTCTAAGAGATCTAGAGAGACTTGGACCTTGTTTCCCCCTCAGCTGTTTTATAACAAGTGGGTCTCGGCCAGGTGTGGTGGCACACACCTGTAATTCCAGCACTTGGGAGGCTGAGGCATGTGGATTGCTGGGAGTTCAAGGCCAGGCTAGACTACATAGTGAGACTCTGTCTCAAAAAGCCAAGCAAAACAAAACAAAAAACCAAAAAGCCAGGTGTATCTCAAGTCATCCCCTAATTTCAGCCCCTTTTCTTTTTTCCCAGCCAAACTGTACTCGGTATCAGTTACCAGGGTGCCCCAAGAACCTTGACCCCGTGTGTGGCAGTGACCTGTCCACGTATGCCAACGAGTGTCTTCTGTGCCTGAAGATCTGGTAATCTGATTTTATGGCTCTAGACCAGCCATGTTTTTCTTTGTTTTCTTGCATTTTGATTTCTTGGAGAGCGTGAGTCTTTCCTTGAATATAAGAATCAAATGTGACATAAATTGTTCTCAGTCTTCACACTGGTGTGTGACAAAGTGTGAAGTCCTCAGTGCGTTTTCAGGCCAGAGGTAGAGAAGGAGATATGTGACTAATCAACTAGAGACCAAATAATCAGGTTCATGAGTGCAGATTTCCCAAAATGAAGAGTATATTTAGGGGCTGCAGGCATAGCTCAGTGATGGAGCAAGTGCCTGGCATGCTCAAGGTCCTGGGTTTGATCCCCAGCACTGAGAACACACACACACACAAATAAATAAGAGTATATTTAATAGTTAAGCACCGTGGAATACTACATTTTCTTTTAAATTTAGAGGACATGTGCAGGGGACTGGTACACAGTGTCCATCCAGTTGGGAAGCAGTAAGCTGTGAAACTCGGTGCCCTTCATGTGGCACACTTGACCAGGCGACTGCCCCTCCAGGATGCTGCCAGGGGAGCAGGGGTCCATCGTGGGCCTCAGTCTTCACCCAGGAGCCTCTGTCTTCTCCAAGAGCTTCTCAGGGCTCTGTGCCCTGTCCCCTGGGGCTCAGGGGCAGATGACAGAGTGAGGAGGGTAGGGACTTTGACCCTCCAAGTTTCCTAGATTTAGCTGAAACCATGACTACATAAAGACAGCCCTGGAAGGAGTCTAATATTAGTGACATGGGCCTTTTTAATGCAAATAGTGAGCAGGCTTGGGTGTGGCAGGTAGTGATAATGTCTCTATCGTGGTTTTATCCACAGGGAGGACAGGCGCGACATTAAAATCATCAGCAATGAGCCATGCTGAAGGCAGCACTTGGAGCCGAAGAGACAAGACGCCTCCCTCCTGGATGGTGCACCCTCCCTCTCTCCCCGGCTTGCTTTGCATGAGATTTGTTAGCCCACATATCAAGGGAGAGGAGGTGTGGAAGAGAGTTTAGTAGAAAACCCTTGTTTCTTTGCTTTTGCCCTTTAGTTCAGCTTGTGCATTGCTTTATTTAGTTGGAATAAAATCAGCATCAAATTCAGCTACTGCTCTTTTCTGTTGAAAATGCCATTCCCATTGTAGGGAGGACAGAATTTTACTTTCAGGTTAATTAGGGTTTTTCTTTTTTCTTTTCTTTTCTTTCTTTCTTTTTTGTTTTTTTGAGATAGGCTCTTGCTACATAGTTCAGGCTGGCTTTGAACTCACTATGTAGCCCAGGCTGGCCTCGAATTTGCTGCGATCCTGCCTCAGCCTCCCAAGTGCTGGGATTACAGGGGTACACCACCACATCCAACTAATTAGGGTTTGTCTTTCTTTCTCTCCTTTGTTTTCACATACTTGCTTTTTTGCTTTTATTATGATTTAGTTTAAATAAGTAAAAAGATTCACACATGTTAATAAAAAGACAGGAGTGTTTGCTGCATGGCTACGAAACAGCAGCTCTGCCAGTGCACACTGAGGGTGACACAGATCATGTCATAGCTCTCGCCCGTTCCCCGCCCCCCCCTAATTTCCTGGCTGTCCTGGTCAGTGCTCCTCTGCCCAGGGCTCTTTTTCTGTCACTTTTGTATGTTTACTGTGTCACTACTTCTGCGTCATTTGCAAGACTGGGGGTGCAGATTCGCAGAGTTCTGGGAAGGTCTGTCCTCATCCACTCAGTGTGATCAGGAGCAGGAGTTGATGTGTTTCTGCTGATCAAGTGGAACCGGGAACCCTCAGGGTCTTTTAAGTTGTCTTCATCTGATCGTGGTTTCTTTTGGGGAGAAGCAAATAGGTAGACGTTTCCTTCTACCTTGCCATATGCTGACAGCTGCTTGTTACTCCTAAAAGTCTACCCCTCCACACCGAGACTCACCCCAGTGACATCTCCATGGTAGAGTCCTGTAGCAGTGCACATCAAAACCATCCCTGACACCCCAGCTCTGCCGGGGCTCTACATCTGAACGCTGGTGTCTGCCATCTTTTAGGGGTTTCACCATCACCATCTTCACAGGTCCAAATCACTCTCTCTGACATATTTAGCACAAACCCCTGGAGGCCAGACTTTGCTCCAGAATTCCACATCTGCCACATTTTTATAAACTGAGCATCGGGAGGTATTGAGTCCCCTTCTTCTATGGTAACATCTTCAACAAAGGACATAGAGGGCCCACTGATGTTTGGGCTCTCAAAGTCAAAACAGGTGCCAAATACTGCCTGTAAGTTCCAGCTGGTCATGTTCAGGAAGATGCGAGGCTGCCAGGTTGAGCTGGAAGCTGAGCAGCTGGAGCTCAGAGATGTATAGATGCTTCACGTGGCTCCCAGGCAGCTGAACTTCTGAATCAGCGCAAGGTCCATGTCCAGGTCCACGTCTGTGCCCACCATGGCAGGGCCAGACACAACTGACCCACCGCTGAGACCTCTCACCGCTTCAGAGGGGTAAACTCCCTCAGCCACTCGCTCTCATGCTCCTCCAATCTCCCAGTGAAGATTTTCCCACTGGGCCTGAGAAGTAAATGGACATAAGATAGATCGACAGGAGAGAAGGGTATGAATTTGCTTGAAACAGTTTTACCTAGCATGCAAGCCTTCATGAGGAAGTGACCCACAGATGCACTCAGAGTTAACACGTACTGAATGAGACAAAAAGTAGTGAATTACGGCCAGGTTTGGTGAACGCTGAAAATACCAGGACTCTGGGAGGCTGAGGCAGGGAGATTGGAAGTTTATACTCAGCCTGGACAATTTAGCAACTTAGCAAGACTCTGTTTCAAAATTTTAAAAAGGCATGGAGCCAGGCGGAGTGGTGCACGCCTGTGATCCCAGCACTCAGGAGGCTGAGGCAGGAGGATCACCTCGAGTTCTAGGCCAGCCTGAGCTACATAGTGAGACCCTGTCTCAAACAACAACAACAAAAAAAATGGCATGGGGATGTAGCTCTTTGCGAAGCTCCTGGGTTCAATACCCAGCACAACAAACAAACAGTAGTGAATTATGAGAATGTACAATGGTGGGTTAGGATATTTTGGTGGACAAGTGGCTAGGGAGGCTAGAAATTAATCTAATAAAGTTTGTACAGATTTCTCCCAGCCTCAACTTCCTGTCCTTGGAGAATGCTACTTTCCTTCTAGAGTAGGAGGACATCATTCAGGTGCAGATTTTATTTCCTGCTTTTTGGGGGGGTAGTACTGGAGATTGAACCCAGGGTCTTGCACATTCTACGTAAGTGCTCTCCCACTGAGCTACATCCCCCCAGGCCTTTTAAAATGTTATTTCAAAATTGTTTTCCAGTCAGGACTTGAACTTGAAATCCTCCTGCCTCAGCCCTTCCCAAGTTGCTGGCATTACGGGCATGCACCACCACACCTGGCTTCATCTCCAGCTTTTGAGAAACAGAAGGAAGGTCAGAAGGATGTTTTGTACCCACTGTCTTTTCAGTGCCTATCACTTGAAATGGCTAATAGGCCAGAGTCACATGTTTTGGGGATCTGTGGAGAACACCTTGGAATTAGATGGAATCGTATAACCCTAAGTGTGCTGTAACCCTAAAGTGTGCTGTGACTTTAAGAGTGCTGTAACCTAAGTATAACACAATCATAAGAGTGATGTGTAACCATAAGATATGAAAGTAATGAAAGTAGAACCTTAAGTGGTATGGAACTGATAAGGGTGTAGCCCGAACTGGACGGGGCATACCCCGAATTGGGCAGAGTGTGCCCCCAAGCTGGACAGTGTGATAAGTCTGAACCAATACCACGAACGCCCAGCTAGAATAGTATAAAAGGAGCTGAAGACCCCAAGCAAGTCGACGATCCATCCCACCGACCAGTCGGCCAGTCAGTCTGATGATCTGACTACCGACCCAGACATCTGCACACCTGATCCCGCTGGGAGGAGCATCGCCGCCGACCAGACGAGACCAGAGGACGAGGCAAGCAGAGAGGCAGATAGCCTAACGCCGACTCGACGCCCTTCGTCTACGGATCGGACCCTCTGACCCTGCGGGAGGAAACGTCGCGCTCCCATTAAGGACTTGCGCAGTACAGGTACAGGGACGTGGTAATTGGCAGACTCAATATTGTGTGGTAATTGTATTGAAATGAATTAGGATAATATAAGATAAGTGTATTGCCATCCGAGTCCGAGTCCGAGTCCTCTTTACCCACGGTACCTGCTCGCGACAGGATCTGTCCTGACTTCATCCCTCAGCAGCTTCACAAGGCCTCTTTTCTTCCCAGGCAAAGGTGAGCTTCACTATGTGACAAGTAGGGTCACTGTTGGGAGGGCAGGGTTTATCCTGGTTTCCCCTTCCCTGATTCTGGGGCAGCTGTTTGTGGGTAACGGGCATGGTGTTCTGTTCATGGCAAATGATCATGAGATACCTGGAGTTGATGTTAACCTGAGCCAGTAAAGTAAAACAGTCATGGAAGTGAAAATATATATTAAGTTCAAAATCTCCATCAACTTCACTGCATTTCTTAAGAAATGCCTAGCAGATTAGTAGAGTACATGCCTGAGTATGGTCTTGGCTGTTGCATATGGTTCCCCTTCCCTTTCCCTCTGGCACTGTTTCTCTGCTTGGCTCTCCTCCACCACGAAGCAAGCAGCTTTGCTCTGATAGTTCCTTCCGGCCTGAGTTTTCGGCCTTGGGGCCAGATGACCATGGACGGAGTCCCCTGAAACCATGAGTGAAATTAAACTTCTCCTCCTTTAAGTTGTGGTTGTTGGGTATTGTGTCTCAGTGACAGGAAAGCTGACTAATGCACTACTTATATATTCTATGACAAATGACTGGCTGGTTCTTCTTTCCACTACCATTGGATAATAGAAGCAGAGTCACCCAAATTTGCTCAGGGTTGTACTGCAAACTTGGATTTGTGTTCATACCTTATCGAGGAATTCCTGTTTTTCCCCTTAAAAACTCCACATTATAATTGGTGAGAGGCATAGTACAACAATCCACTGGGGGTTCTAGACTAGAAATTCCCCCAAGGACAGAGATCCTGCTCCTCTTCCTTGTCATGGTTCTTCCATGGCTGGGACAAAACCTGGCATGTGTTGGGAGCAATGCTACATAATTCTAGGGGAAAATCATTTGAGTAGGCCTAGTTCTCCTGCCTACAGGCCAGCTACGACACTCCAGACATAATTGCATTTTGGCCTCGGGTCACAACTGAGACCTCAGTGATCCCCGGTTGCTGTAATGCTCCAGGACAAGACCACACCTGCGGATGACTCCAGGGAGGAACCAAATCTTCATCTGCATAGTTCCTTATTGTTCTTAGATTTCCACTGCCCCCCAGTCTTTTTACACCTTGTTTATCCCAATGTAAAGTACTGAACTCTGCATTTTCACTTGTTACATCTGTCTCCCCATGTACTGAATAAAAAGTGCTGCAAGCTAGGGGGCTTTCGTCTTTGCCGCCCAGAGCAGCACTGATCAGACCCAAAGCTCAGCTTCTTCTCAGTCTCATTTGTCTACCTTTCCTGTAATTTGCCGTGTGCTGCCATGGCTCGCAGGAGACTAGGACTTACTGCAGAGGTTCTGGTAACATCCCCTTCCCCTGTTCCCTACAGGCATGGTACATAGTTGCTGACTGAAGAAATGAAAAAGTGACCTAGGAGGCTCACAGAACAATGACAACAAAACCACTAATCCCTATAAATTCCCTTCCCTCTTCAAGAACAAGTAAGATATCTCAGCCCAGGAACCCACACATCACAGGGAAACAAGGTCTTGACTCCTTCCCAGTAGTGAATTTCATTTTTTCCCCTATGCTGCTCTGAAAAGGAGGCTAACCCTAAATGCCCACCTAATCTCCAACAGTTCTGATATACCTTACACTTGGTTTACATTTGTTTTTAGTTTTACATTTTTGTTGAAGGACATACTTTCTATCTGATCATTCATTTAGGTCCTGAACATCTGTGATATCTACAAGGGCAGATGAAAAAACACTGTATTTAAATAAAAATTTATTATAGTACAAGTCACAGTGCCAGTATTCCCCCTCAAAATACCCTCCCTTCAAATGCATCTAGCCGATCATTCTTGTTACTTTC